TTAATCCACTTTCTAGTTTTTCCTTGATAAAATGCCTGTCTATCTCGATGTGCTTAGTTGGGTCGTGTTGCACTGGATTATGTGCAATGTTGATTGCTGATTATTTATCACAGTAGAGTCTCATTGGCCCACTCCATTTAATCTTCAAGTCTTCCAGTATAATCTTCAACTATAACAATTCACAGACACCTTGTGCCATTGCTCTAAACTTGGCTTCTGCACTTGACCGGGCTATAACATTTTGCTTCTTGCTTCGCTATGTTACCAAATTGCCTCCAAGGAATGTACAATAACCTGAAGTAGACCTTCAATCCATAGGGGACCCTGCGTAATCTGCATCTGTGTAGGCTTCAAGGACAAGCTCAGAGTTTCTCTTGAACATTATCCCCTTCCCAGGATTAGCTTTCAAGTAATGAAGCACATGGTAGGCAGCTTGAAGATGAATCTCCTTGGGGTCATGCATGAATTGGCTGATGACGCTAACAGAATATGCTATGTCCGGCCAGGTGTGGGCAAGATAAATGAGTTTTCCAACTAATCTCTGGTAGATCTCTCTATCTACTGCTTGATCTCCAATAGCCTCTCCAAGTCTATGATTCGGCTCTACAGGTGTTGCAGCTGGTTTGCTTGCGAGCATTCCTGTTTCCTTAAGAAGATCAGTGACATACTTTTACTGCGAGATGTAGATACCTTGTCTAGAATGAGCCACTTCTATCCCTAGAAAATACTTCAATCTCCCCAAATCTTTTATCTCGAATTCTTTAATTAAACATTGTTTCAAGGCTTGTTTCTCTTTCTCATCATTTCCAATCATAATTATGTCGTCCACATAGACTATCAAGGCCGTGACTTTCCTTAAAACTGAGTGTTTGATGAAAAGAGTGTGATCTCCCTGACTCTACTTGTATCCTGTAGCTAACATCACCTTAGTAAATCTCCCAAACCAGGCACGGGGCGATTGTTTTAAACAGTATAAGGCCTTCCTTAACTTGCATACCTTGTTCCTTTCAACTCCTCCAAATCCTGGCAGGATACTCATATAAATTACTTCTTCCAGGTCACCATGTAGAAAGGCGTTCTTCACATCGTACTGCTATAATTCCCAATTAAAATTGGCTGCTAATGACAACAAGATCCTTACAGTGTTCATTTTTGCAACTGGAGCGAAGGACTTTTGGTAATCAACTCCATATGTCTTAGTGTACCCCTTAACAACTAGCCTTGCTTTGTAGCGCTCTAATGATCCATCAGCCTTATATTTCAAGGTAAAAACCCACTTACACCCTACTGCCTTTTTTTCTTTTGGTAAATCAACCACCTCCCACGTCCCATTTTTTTCTAATGCGTCCATCTCAACTCTCGTTGCTTTCCTCCATTCTTCATTGGATAATCCCTCAGATAAAGTGCTTGGAATAGAGACTTCATTTAGACTCGTGAGAAAACTCCTATGGGCTGGTGAGAATTTCTTTAAGGACACATAATGAGATAGAGGGTATAATGGTCGTTTGGTACACTCTCGAGTTCCTTTCCTCACGGCTATGGGCAAATCTTGGTCAGTTATTTGAGGTCCAGAGGTCCAGGGAGCTGGTGTTCTATAAGTGGAGTAGGTTCAGATATCGTTACCTCATTCTCAGGAGTCAGGTTGGAGGTTTGGGCCTACACCGGATCAGGAGCTGGACCTTGCTTCCTCGAGTACACCTTCCCTTTCCCATACTGTACGTGATCAAGAGTCATATGATCCTTCACAGGAGACACAACAAGAGACATAGGTGACAAAACAGGAGATTCAGGCTCAGGTACTGAGTTGGATTGAGTGTTTGATATAGGTAAGAGAGATGGTGAACGAGACGAAGACGGTAAAGCAAGCTAGAAAAAAATCCTTATCTTTCATGATAGACGACTCCCCCTGAAGATAAGGTTCAATAAAATACGGTTTCCCTTCCGCAAATGTGACATCAACTGAGATATAAAGTTTCCTGGTAGGAGGATGAAAACATTTGTAGCCTTTTTGTGTGGACGAGTATCCTACAAACACACACTAAATGGCTCTAGGATCTAATTTGCCCCGGTTGTTGCTATGGACATGAACAAATGAAGTGCACCCAAATATCCTAGGGGTAAGGTTGTTTGTGGCACTAAGGTCGGGGTAGAATTTAGAAAGGGCTTCCATTGGACTTCTTAACCCTAAAGCCCGTGAAGGAAGTCTGTTTATGATGTAGGCAAATGTAAGTACTACTTCCCCCCAATAGTGTTTTGGTACATTTTGATGAAACAAGAGTGCTCTAGTAGTGTTTAGGAGATAATCGTTTTTCCTTTCGGCTACTCCGTTTTGTTGTGGAGTATTAATGCAAGATGACTCATTAATAATTCCTTCCTTTTGAAAGAAGGGTGACAAGACTTGATTGAAGTAATCCCTCGCATTATCAGACCTAAACCTCTTTATTTTGGTACCAAACTGATTACAGATCATTGAATGGAAATTGAGAAAGATATTACTCACATCTGATTTGTTTTTGAGTAAAAATATCTAAGAGACTCTAGTGCAATCATCGATAAAGGACACAAACCACCGTGAACCAGAAACATTTGGGACTGTGGAGGGTCCCCATATATCACTGTGAATTAAATAGAAAGGGGAGGAACTTTTTTTTTTGCTAATGGGAAAAGCTACACGAGTGTGTTTTGCATACTCACAAATATCACAATGAAATGTCCCAATATTTATTCCCTTAAACAAAGAAGGAAACATGATTTTTAGAATTGCAAAAGAAGGATGTCCGAGACGAAAATGATGCAACCATATGACATCTTTATTGGAAGAAGAGAGAAACGAAGTGGATAAATTTGTCCTGATCATACTCGGAAGGCTCGGTGTCTCAAGGTAGTAGAGTCCTTCCTTTTCCTTAGCACGTCCAATCCTCCTCCCCAAATCCTGGTCTTGAAATTCATAGTAAGAGGGATAAAACGTAACATGACAATGTAAGTCTCTAGTAAGCTTTTGAATGGACACAAGGTTAGCGGACTATTTAGGAAGATGTAGAACATTTTTAAGAACAAGACTAGGGGTGATATGGATATCTCCTACACCAGCAACCGTGGTTGTGGTTCCATCAGCAACAATGATTTTCGTATTGCTAGGACATGGGGTATAAGTGCTGAACTGGTTTGAGGCATGTGTCATGTGGTTTGTGGCTCCCGAGTCTATGATCCATGAATCCACAAACAATTTATCAGAAACATTTAATCCATGGGAGAATAAAGACTCACCTGAGAGGGCTAAAGAACAAGCACCAGAAGATGGTTTCTCGAGGGTTCCAAGCAGGTTCTTAACTTCTCTATTTCTTCACCGTCGAATCCTCCATATTCTTTTGCCTGGTCCTGACCCACCTGTGAGGTCATATGGGCTTGTCCTTGTTGTCATTGCTACTGTCCTCCTTTGTTTCCCCATTCTCGGCTGGATGTGGGTGGTTTCCCGTGTAATTTCCAGCAATAATCCCTGGTATGTCGCGACTTTTTACAGTATGTACACCAGAGATTATCTTAGTTTGCCCCCTATGATAATTCCGCCTTTCCATGTTCAGCATTTTGCGGTTGTTCTAGAGTGAAACCCCGCTTGCTGTCACCAGAGGCTACGAGTGCTGAGCTGTCAATCGACTGAGGTTCAAGCATGATTCCTCTCCAAATCTCTTCAACCCGTATCAATGAAATCACCTCATTAAGAGATGGTACCTCCTCCTTGCCCAAAATTTGAATTCTGACTTGATCAAATTCAGAGTTTAGGCCAGCGAGAAAATCATAAACTTGATCTTTTTCAATGAAATTTTTGATAATTATAGCGCATTCGCTGCACTTCTAATCAATCACCCGGTAGTGATCCAGTTCTTGCCACTGGTTTTGCAGAAAATTGGCATACTCAATCACGGACTTGTTCCCCTGTTTTGTAGACGCTGTCTTTGTCTTGATCTCGTATACTTGCGCCGTATCATGAACCTTGGAGTAAGTCTGGTTGAGAGCGTCCCAGATGGCCTTCGCAGTTGCTAGGAACATGCATGTATCGCTGATTTCGGGTGTCATGGAATTCCACAACCAGGACATGACCATTGAGTCCTCCTCGTCCCATGCTTCGAAACCTGCATCACCTTTCTTTGGTCCCGTTCCCAGCAAGTGACTTAATTTCCCTCTTCCTTTTAGAAAAGTTCAAACCAATTGAGACCATTTCAAGTAGTTTCTTCCATTTAGTCGGTGCGCTGGTTGAATATTCTGCAGTTCACTTGTGGAGCGTTGAACCTGCTCTTCCTCGGGTGATTGGGATGGTTGAATAGTAGTTTCTGACATTCTTCAACAATCGGCTATGAAGGCCGGAAAGAAGGGTTATGCGAAAATTGGCAAAAGAAATTGCCAGAGAATGATTGCAATGAAGGCAAGTCACAGAGAAAATTGGCTATGAAGGCCTGAACAGAAAAAATAAAAAACCGCTGAATTTTTTTTTTTTTCAGGAAATCCAAGCCTTACGGCTTTGATACCATGTGGTGAAATGAATTCAATTATATTAAATCTGTTAATATTTTTACAAGAGCCTCTGTTGGGCTACATATAAGAAATCACAGAGAGAAAAATCAGCAACTAACTAAATTTTGAAAACCCTATAATCAGGAATCCCTGATTCTCTATCAATCAAATCCCTAAACTCTAGGAAACAAATATTTACACAAATCCCTAAACTCTAGGAAACAAATATTTACACAATTCTAGTGCTAACCTACCACTAATCAAGGAGACTAACTCGTATTTTTCCACACTTTACTTAATTTTAAATGCCTAAAGTTCCATTGCTGAGGTGTTGTTTTTAATGAAGCTCATATACTGCTGCCTTTTGAAGGAAGCTACTTAATTCTTGCAAATATAGTTAGCAAGCTGTTTTTTTTTTTTTTGGTGATTAAATTGTATATTCTTATGCTTGTGCTGCCAGAGATATGATGTTTAAAAAAATTGAATTACAGGATTGCTTGAATGGTGAGTTTCTCAGGGTTGGCTCAAATCCGAAGTTTGCTCCAGTGGCTGGATATCACATGTACATCCTTTTTCTTTTGCAAATTATTATAACGAGAAGGCCTTGTTCTATTTTGAAAGTTTAAAGGAAGTTATAATATCTTGATTTTTATCAGTTTCAAATACATGTACCCTTTTCTTTTTTTTTTTCCCGTTATTGGTTGGGGTTAATATCAACCAGGTGACAGTTGTGCTCATACCCTCTTTGCTCTCTTTTGCAGGTTTGATGGAGATGGGTGCGTGTTCTCTATTCCCTCACTAAATTGAAGATAACTTGCATGGTTTATTTGAATTTTTTTTTCTTTTTTTTTCGAAGAAGGAAGAACCTTTTTCACTCCATCATCTCATTTTCTCCCACTGTTGAATGGCATTGGAGTCTCTATTGTGACTGAAACTAATGTGGGGTAATTAAGTATTTTCCACCGAATGGCCAACTTTTTCTCTGCAAAGAATGACAAGTTAATTCCCAAGTCGCATCTTACGCTTCAATGGCAAAATCTACCTGTAGTTTAGAATTAAAACTAATAATTGTACTGATGCCAGTTGAATGCTCTCTCTCTCTCTCTCTCTCTCTAAAGAAAATACCTGCATCATTATGTGCATTTTTTTGCATACAAGTTAGTTACAAAATGACATTTCATACTCTGTTCAAAGTTTAGTTCAGCAGTCCGATTTTCTGAATCACAATTCTCTTTCACCAGCAAATGGAGCTCTATTCTAATAATCAATTATTACATCTGTTTATCTGTTTTCTGTTGTACGTTAATTTAACAGTGAAATTTTGCAGCCTTCATAATTGCTATGGATTTTCCAATTGAGTGTCACTTTGATATCTATAACTATTTTAAGGCTTTTGTATATCTGATTCTGCAGCATGGTTCATGGTATGCGCATCAAAGATGGTAGAGCAACATATGTCTCCCGTTATGTAAGGACATCACGTCTTAAGCAGGAAGAGTATTTTGGAGGATCCAAATTTATGAAGGTATACCTCTGAACTACATAAATTAATTTTTTTAGGTGTCTTTCTTCTTCTTCTTCTTGTTCCTTTTTTCTTTTTCTTTTTCTTTGTACCCATATATGTAATATCATTAATGTTTTGTCTTCCATTCTTGTTGCCCTTTCACTTCTGGATCTTAATTTTTTTAACTAAATTAATACATACACTCAACAAAGCCTTTTTCCAACTACTTGAAGTTGGCTATATGAATTCTCTTTTTCCATTTTGCTTTATTTAAGTCCATAGGACTAAAACAATACATATATAATTAAAAAAATAAAATGAGAAAGGAGGATCAATTAGGAATTATAAATATCTCAAGAGTGAATAAATTACATATTGGTTTGTCATTTCATCTGCAGATTGGAGACCTTAAAGGGCTGTTTGGATTGCTTATGGTTAACATGCAAATGCTGAGAGCAAAGTTGAAAGTATTGGATGTTTCATATGGAACTGGGACAGGTGGGTCAACTGATTATGCTTCTCTGCTTCAACACCAAAATATTCCTGTGGGATTGTACCCCTTAACAAAGTCGTTCCAGTGCTATAGTAACAATACTACAGAGCCAAAGATATTATTCAGTTATGGTCCTGATATAAATTCACATATGAGAAGTGCTCGAGGTGATAACCTTTTGTCACCTCCTTGCAGGTAACACAGCTCTCATATATCACCACGGGAAGCTTTTGGCACTTTCAGAGGTAGATAAACCTTGTAAGCTCTCTTCCTTTTCTATTTCCTTTTCTTTAGAAGGTATCTCATTTCTTTATAATTCATGGAAATATAAGAGACACTCTGAATTTTCTTTAGATGGGCAGTGCCCATTGGTGCATTGAATATTTACACAACCTTTGTCATGTATTGATTGGTTCTTTTTCTCTCTTGTTTTTTTTTTTTTTTTTTTCCCAATAAATTTGTAACTGAACCAGTGCACATTAATTCATATTACGCATGGATCCTTCAATATCAGGTTTTAATGATCCCAAAATATGGCTCAGAAAAAAACTGGAAAATAAGTTACATCATATATCGTTAAGGAACTCCATTTTATTGCCTGTTTTTAGTGCAAAACTGAAATGGTAACCCTATTGCATTGTGCAGATGTCCTTAAGGTTTTGGAAGATGGAGATCTGCAAACCCTTGGCATGTTGGATTATGACAAGAGATTGACACATTCCTTCACTGCTCATCCAAAGGTTGATCCATTCACTGGTAAAACCATCCTCCCTAAAGGAAATATGGTCAATTAATAATGTAGAATATATATTTTTTATTTATAAATCTTTTGCTTGCAGGCGAGATGTTTACCTTTGGCTTTTCACATACACCACCGTATATTACCTACAGAGTTATTTCAAAGGATGGTTTCATGCATGATCCTGTACCAATAACAATATCAGACCCTATCATGATGCATGACTTCGCCATTACTGAAAATTATGCAATTTTTATGGATCTTCCTCTGTACTTTAGACCAGAGGTAAGGTTTTTTTTTCAATTTTTTATATTATATAATATATGTATATGGTACAGAAGGCTACTGATGTTAACATTGCATTTCATCTTTAACTTTTTTATAATATTAACAATTGATCCCTCCTAGTGACAAAAACTTCTTTCACAGGGATAGGGGATGTGAATGATTGGAACGATTTATAAACAACACAGGACTGGATCACTAATGTTAGGGGTTTTTACCATTCCTCTAATCTTTTCATCATCTAGTCATTTTTATAGGGTGTCTTATAGTTCTTCTTTCAAATAATTGAAGTTCTGTTTCCAGTTATTGTTTTTTAAATACCTTGACTGTATGATTTTAGTAATGCATTTGGATGTGTCATGGGTTGAGATTTTTTTTTTGTCTAACCTCCTGATGTGTGAGTGACACATGCTCATCATTTGCTAGTGGATTGTTTTTCCGTTGTATTTTTGGAATTTGAATCTTGTACCCAAATCCTTGTTTCTCCTTGAGTAATTGATATGTTGATAAACATAAGGCTAGCAGTAGGATTTGGAAAGTGCAATCATGACATTTTAATTTTCAGGAAATGGTGAAGGAAAAGTTCATATTTACATTTGATGCGACTAAAAAAGCTCGTTTTGGTGTTCTTCCACGGTATGCAAAGGATGAGCTCCTAATCAAATGGTTTGAGTTGCCAAACTGCTTTATATTCCATAATGGTGAGTTACATTGCTCTCCCACTTTCTTGATATGCCAAAATAATATCCTCCAAGTGTATCCACCTTTTTGGGTTCTAGTTCACTAGTAGTTTAATTGAAATTTCTGCACGGTGATAAAGTTCGGATGGCACGTGGCGTATGCCTACTAATTTAGATGTTCTCAGCCGGAAAACAAGGAAATTCTAAGATTTTATTTTCATTCTTGCTTATGTGGCATGTTCTAGAAACTCTGTTATTAGTAGGATGAGCTTACCCCAAAAATGCTACCAACAGTCAATATTCTTAGTTACTTGTTGGTTGCTTGCACATAAAGCTCCAAATTACTTGTGATTGGCTTTTGCACACTTTCAGACTGAGACCATATAATTACCTGTTTAGATCAACATGAAGGATAATTTTCTGTGGAATTCTGATCAGAAACTGAAGTATATGCATCAATAAATGTTAAAAGGCTCATACAAAGTTGGTTGAATTTGAATTTGTAGAAAACACTAACCATGGGCTGACCTTGCCACATTGAACATTCTCTGTACTACACATCTCATTTTTAGGGTGAAAAAACACTCCATTTTCCATTTGGTTATGAGGGATTTGATTTTCAAGAGGAGAAAGAGGTAAGAGGGGTCTAAAAGGTCACTGTCTTTTCCTTTGCTTGGTTAATCATGAAGAAAAGGAGGAAGGAAAGTTGAGTTATTTTATTTTCCCACTAGAGCCGTGCATAATAACTGAAGGGTGTTGTTTGAAGGGCAAAAAGGCAAATGAAAAGGTTCTTATCTTCCACTGATTCTGTTTTTGTTCGTTTTGTGCCAAAAGAAATGGCGAGTCTGAGGGGGAACTTTCCTCCTTTTTTCCTTTCCCTTTGCCTTACCTTCTAACTGACAATAGGACCTGTCTATCCTCCCCCCTGACACGCTCTCTTCCTTCCTCCCACTCTTTCCTCCATACCAAATGATGTACTTTTGCCGAGGCATCTTTGAAATACTCTGTTGCACATAATGCATATGGATTGGGTCAGGTCAACTTTAACCATGTCTAAGCAAATTATAGAGGTCAGCCTGAACCTTTTTACCTAATTATATTTTGAAGTACTAGTACAAAATGATGCAGATATGCAGATTATGTTCTAGCAATATTCTAGAAAATACAGAAAGAAGAATTTTGTTGCACAACAACATCGAAAAAGGTGTGAGTCTATTTTAATGTAATTTACATCTAGCTGATCTATTGACTTCAACTGGTTTACAGTCTAATCAACTCAACCTAATTCAACAAAGTCTTTTCCGAATTATTTGGGGTCCGCTACATGAATTTTGTTTTGTCATTCTGCTAACCGCTGCAATTATAAATTAAGATCACACGTCACTTTTCCTAATTGGTGTAGTTATTGTTCGTCGTTGCATGTGGACAAACCTTTTTAATCGGTTCTCTATCAAATTTGTCTTCAATTGGTGCTACTTCAGTAATCTTACTAATATTTCATTATTAATTTTATCTTTTGTTTGTCCATATTTCAAAGACATGGTGTCGCGACATAGCAGACATGGGGTTGCGTCAAGCATAATGTAGCAATATTGGTTATGGTGGTTGTGAATTTATTTTAACCTTGCACTTATGGCCTAAAACGCATCGACATGTAAACTTTTACATCATAATCCAATGATAATTTTTAAAGATTTACATTCAATATCATTTAACACAAGTAATGACTTACATATGAACTCTTAAGTTTTGTCGCTATTAAAGCCTTAGTAATTTTTACTTTTTATTAAACTAATGAATAAAAATAGACTTAAACATGAAATAAATAAGAGTTTTGGATATAAAAGACATAAGAACTTTACTGTATAGTACCTCAATGCTAAATTACATAGGCAAATAAATGATAATGGATTTTAAAATGATACTTAAACTAGGTCACCGCGAAAAGGAGTGACGTGGAAGATCTTGTAACTGATCTTGTTGGGACTCCTAATGTGGAAGGCCTCGAGGCAGTGAAGCGAATAGTTGCTCATAAAGCTTTGATTTATCATTCCCTTGTGGTGGATCATAGTTGTATGAGGGGGATATTGCTGATGGGCCTAAGGTTGAGGGATAGGTTCATTCTGAGGATAATGAGGGTGGTAGCCATACTGTTCGGGAGGATATCCTTAGAGACCGGTCAGTGATAATGTAATGCCTCTGCCACAATGCATCTGAGTCTAGGACCCATAATTATATGCATAATCATAACCCTGAGGCTGAGGAGGTGGTTGATAGTAGTTTTGGCCAGTTCTACTACTGCAATAAGAATCTCATGATTGCCCAAGTCCAAATTCCCAAAAGCTATGCAAGATGGAAGATGACCTGTCATCACAATGATCATGCTTGCCTCTGTTTCCTCCTAAAATGTGGTGCTGTTCCTTCTAAAATATATAGCAGTTTCAGTAGTAGGACCTACTTGTCCAGTATATCTAGTAGACATTGATGGTGACTAATCGTTCTCCTCACGTAGCAATCTCCTACTCATATGGGACTCTAGGTACAGAGTAATCACCTATATATGGTCACGCTTAGGTTGCCTATAAGAAGGCACATCATTGCCATCTTAACCATATCTTCCTCCTCCTCTGGCACTAGCATCATTATCACCACCATCGCCATCGTCATCACTGTGGCTGGGTAATAGATTGTAGGAACTACTGCCATCACTATCATGGGCACGAGAAGAAGAGGGACCTCCTGCATGGCTGCATCTGCCTCATCCACATACTCATCCAACAAGAAATAGTCTCATTGTCGAGCAATGGATCTTCCTTCTCCTCTAACCAGGGGACAAGGGAATTATCCTCCTCAAAGATGTAGTTTAGGTTAATGGGGTTACATTATCTTTCATTCTCCTCCTGACTGGCGTGAGACATAAGCCTAATCTGCAACCTCATACTGTAATGGAGGTACATCAATTGCTGAGGTCTCTCATACCTCAATCTGTTCGTCCTCTTATACTCACAGTTAGACAACGATGTCACCAGAGACTTAAAAGTTTCACCAGAACCAACTGTAATTCTGGAGCACTAGTCCCACATAAAATCTGCCATTCAACTGCAAACACAATGATGAACTTCAGAATATATATTTAATACTTACGAGAATTGTTGAATTGAATTTGTTTGGGACATAAATATTATTTACCAGTACATGTGTATTACGGGTCGTCAGAGGTGGTAAGATTGCTAGAACTCTCTTTTGTCCCAAAATAATAAAAAGCTACAAGAAATTAGGAATTTGTAAAAGATAATTAACTATACTTGTTATTTGTAAATCGCTTCATTAAATAAGAAAGAATTAGAAAATAGAAAAATACTGTTCCCTTCGTCCCATAATACTTGTCCACTGTGGGAACTGTGACTCACAATTGTTGTGAGTTACAGTTCCCAAAGTGGACAAGTATTATGGGACAGAGGGAGTAATTATTTTAGTTTAGTCACTTACTTGGGGAATGGACTTGACTTTTTCTACATCATCATCTGCTTCATCCTTGCCTGATTCCAAATATTATGATCTAATCCTTGATACATTTTTAGCCCTCTCCATTGTTCCTTTAGACATTTCCTTTGATGATCGTTCCATGCTAAATTGATGTTTAGGATTAAGAAAATAACCTAATAAAAATAAAATGCATTAGCAAAGTAGCAGAAGGAAAATTCTAGAAATCAGTAACTTAATAAGTTCTTAAAAGTTTTAACTCAGAAGTTTAGTTATACTTGTATAATTATTAATATACCAGCTATTTTCAACTCATGATGAAGCTGATTAGCCCACCAGTTGTCAACTATCTACCAATGATCTTTCTAATATCTGTAATCTTCTTTGATTGCCTACTTAGCAAGCTCCATGGTGGTTTCTCATACCGATCAACCAACCTAGGGACTTTAGCCAGTGTCTCCTAACTAGCAAAGTAGAGTAAAAATATAACATATAGTTTTTTTTCAATACATAATGAATATTATAAATGGATGATGGCCCATATGGCCGTACCTAGAATTTTTCCATTCATCAGACATAAACACTTGCTTGTCTGTGATAATGCAATGGAGGGCCTAAACACTTTCAAATCTTGTCAATAGAAATGCTATCAGGTTGTATTCCCTGTTTTCACTTCTGCCTTTGAGTCATAAATATAAATCCAATTCTAAACATAATGTTGAGGACAATATTGTCCTTATTTGGATTTGTTTGTTTAACATGATGCAAACATTTTTTTGAAGTCTCGATGGTTGGTAAGATACTCTATGTCTTTTGGTCATGCATAAAAACTTTGAATGCCAGATTATTAATCTTTTGGTGACATGGAGCTGTGTTTCAGTCCTTTAAATTGTGGTTACTTGTATATACTTGTTTCAAGCTGCCACTAGATTTGGCTCCACTTCCAAATTATCCATTTAATTTGAGACGTCATTCCTTTCAATATCTGAAAAGTTGTTTAATTTCTCTCACCTCTCTCCCTCCCTCTGAAGTTGCCACTAGATTTGGCTCCACTTCAAAATTATCCATTTATTTTGAGACGTCATTCCTTTCAATATCTGAAAAATTGTTTAATTCCTCCCCCCCTTCTCTCTCTCTCATGCGTGTTGTGGTGAATCTGGTGATATACTCTTTCCATGATGTGACAGATGTTCTGAAATTTGAAACTTACGTATATGATAATTGTCAGGTTTTTTCCGGAATGGGCAACTTCCAACATCTGACTTTTCAAATAGTTCTTGACTTCAGACGCTACTTCTTTTTTCTTTTTTTTCTCTCATATGCTGGTGCTAAAGCAGCATTTATTCTACATTTTGTATTCACAATCACCTACTTGGTAAAGTGTTTTACAAATGATATATATATATATATATATAGAGAGAGAGAGAGAGAGTGATTACATAACCCATCGCCACCTGGAACTTGCTTAGAGCTTTTTCTAATTGTTGCCTATATGGAAATTCTTAAAATTTATGCCCTGTTCATTGATGAGATACTAATGCTTAAGTTCATCTTGTTTACTTTCTAAAAACTATCAATGAATTTATTTTATCAGCCAATGCATGGGAGGAAGGAGATGAAGTCGTTCTGATCACTTGCCGCCTTGAGAATCCAGATTTGGACATGGTTAATGGGGCCGTGAAAGAAAAGCTTGAGAATTTCACAAATCAGCTGTAGGATTCTGATCCCTTGAAAGCATTGACTCGTTTCATATCTCCATGGTATTTCTGATTGTGGTTATCTTGTCAGGTATGAGATGAGATTCAACATGAAAACTGGTTTAGCTTCACAGAAGGAACTATCAGCATTTGCTGTAGATTTTCCCAGGGTAAATGAGAGCTATACTGGCAGGTATGTGCTACTTTTTGTGTTAACAATTTAGTGGAATTTGAAATTGAATTGTGGCTAAGAATTTATGTTGAAAATGGATGAGAAGATGATATAATGTATAGTTAGAGGAAAAAGAAAGAACATATGAGATAAAATTTGGGAGAGAGCTGAGCAGTAGACTAAGTTTGCTCCTCTGTATTTGTATTATTATCCATGAAGATAAAATACAGTCTTACTCTAACTTAACTTATTTGTCAGTGCTCCCCCTTGAGATGGTAATAAAGATATCTCTCATGTCCACCATGATAAATAACTTGGAGACCTTTTCTACAGAATTCGTACACATAATTTAACTGATCCTTTTGACCTGACATACGCCATAGTATTGTGGCCAAATATTTTATAAGACTCATTTTTCCATTCTTAGTTCTTTTGTCTTTAATTTTTTTTTTTTTTTTGAATAAATTTGATTTTTATATTATCTTTTAAATTTTGGAAACCCAATTTTTTATTAATGGAAAACAAACTATTAAAAGATTATTGGGAAAATTACTTATTAGTCCTACTTTTCAATTGTAAGGACCAGCAAGTTCTATAAAATTTTGTTAGGACAACTAAGTCCTGCTTTTAATAAATATTTCCGATTAAGTTGATAATTGATTTACATTGGTTATATTTGTTCAGATTCATGAGAGATAGGGAGAGAAAGAGAGATAGAGAGAAAAATGTATCCTTATGTATATTGTCTATCTGCAGCCCTCTAAATAAGGCTTATATAAGAACAAGGGTTAGACACCCTAATTACATAATTACACAATAACCCTAACTACTATGGGTAATTACATAATGACCCAACACTATAAAGAATATACATTCTAACACTCTCCCTCAAGCTGGAGAATATATATCAAATAATCCCAGCTTGGAATAAATAGTCCTTAACCGATTATGACCCAGTGCTTTGGTAAACATATCAGCTAGTTGATCTTCAGACTTCACAAATGGAGTAGAGATGCTACCACTTAATATTTTTTCCCGAGTAAAATGACAATCAACCTCAATATGTTTGGTTCTCTCATGAAACACAGGATTCGATGCAATGTGAACTGCTGCTTGGTTATCACAGAACAATGGAGTAGGAGTTTCAACTGTCAACTCAAGTTCTTTTAGAAGATTTTGTATCCATGTCAACTCACTAGTGGTATGTGCCATTGCCCTATACTCAGCTTCAGCACTAGATCGAGCTACCACCGTTTGCTTTTTACTTTTCCACGTAACAAGATTTCCTCCTATAAATGTACAGTAGCTTGTAGTAGATCTCCTATCTGAAGTAGAACCAGCCCAGTCAGCATTTGTAAAACCTTCCACCCTGAGATGACCATTTGAATGGTATAGTAACCCAAAACCTGGAGCTTGCTTGAGATATCGGATAATCCGAAGAACAGCAATCCAATGTGGCATTCTAGGAGCTCCCATTAACTGACTTACAACGCTAACTGCATATGAAATATCAGGTCGAGTGATAGTAAGGTAAATTAATTTCTCAACAAGGCGACGAAATCTGCCTGGGTCATTAAATAGATCACCCTCATCAGACGCAAGTTTTGTATTTGAATCCATAGGAGCATCAACCGGACGACCACCTAACATACCCGTTTCTTCTAGCAAATCCAACACATATTTTCGTTGAGATAACTTATACCTTCCTTGGATCTAGCAACTTCAATACCGAAGAAGTATCTAAGTTTACCCAAGTCTTTAGTGTGGAACCGATTTTGCAGAAACAACTTTAACTTAGCAATGCCTGCAGAATCATCACCTGTGATCACAATATCATCTACATACACCACAAGAAAGATGAAGCCAGCTTTAGTGCGCAAGTGAAATACTGAATGATCGGTCTGGCATCTGTTAAGACCAAATTCTAATGCCGCCTCAGAGAATTTCCCAAACCAAGCCCGTGGAGATTGTTTCAATCCATACAAGGCCTTTTTAAGGCGACAAATAGTGTGACAATTCTCCCCCTGAGCAACAAACCCAGGTGGTTGCTCCATATAAACTTCTTCTACCAAGTCACCATGTAAGAAGGCATTTTTGACATCCAATTGGAACAACGGCCAGTTACAATTGGCAGCAATGGAAATAAGAATCCGAATAGAAGAAATCTTAGCAACAGGAGAAAAAGTCTCATCATAGTCAACACCATAAGTCTGAGTGTACCCCTTTGCCACTAGACGAGCCTTCAACCGCTCAATAGATCCATCTTGAAGGTATTTAACTGTGTAGACCCACTTACAACCAACCGGTTTGGAGCCCGGAGGTAAGGGAACAAGATCCCATGTTCCATTACAATGAAGGGCATCCATTTCATTTACCATGGCTTGCCGCCAACCCAAATCAGAGAGAGCATCCTGCAATGTCTTTGGAACAAAAGTAGCAGATACTTTGGATAAAAAACAAGATAAAGAGGATGAAAAATGACGATAGGAGACAAAGTTAGAAATGAGATGTGCAGTAACACACGACCGAATACCTTTACGAAAGGGCAATAGGCAAATCATCAGGTAAAGGCGTCGGATCCGAAGACTCTAAAGGAGATGGAGGGAGCGAAGTAGGCGGTCGAGGTCGTCGAGTATAAAGCTGCAATGGAACAGCAGACCGAGGAGGTGCGGAAATAGGAAACTGAGAGGGAACCGATGGCAGAGGTGGCTCAGAAGTAAAATCGAGAGGACTAGTAGAATCAGAAAAATATGGGATAGACTCAGAAAATGTTACATCAGCACTAGTGAAATAGCGTTGAAAATGAGGACTGTAACAACGATAGCCCTTCTGAGTGCGTGAATACCCAAGAAAAACACATTTAGTTGCACGAGGGTCGAGTTTATCAAAACCAGGTCCAAGGTTATGGACAAAACACACACAGCCAAAGACCCGCGGAGTCAAATTAAACGATACGGAGTCGGGAAGTAGAACAGAGTGAGGAGATTTACCGTATAGCACTGACGAGGGCATCCTATTAATAAGATGACATGCCGTAAGAACAGAATCACTCCAAAAACGTTTGGGAACATGCATATAAAATAAAAGGGCACGACAGACTTCCAGAAGATGACGATTTTTAAGCTCAGCTACTCCGTTTTGTTGCGGAGTATAAGTACAAAAGGATTGATGAATGATACCTTTAGCATGAAAATAAGTCTCAAAAGGGTCCGAGAAATATTCTTTGGCATTGTCAGAACGTAAAACTTTAATGGAACACCCAAATTGAGTTTTGATTTCTTTGCGAAATATTTGAAAAATAGAAAACAACTCAGAATGATTTTTCATTAAAAACAACCAAGTCATCCGAGAATGATCATCCACAAAAGTCACAAAATAACGAAATCCATTAATAGAAATATGTTTTATTGGTCCCCATACATCTGAATGAACTAATTGGAAAGGACTAGCCACACGATTATTAGCTCTTGGCTTAAAAGATACACGACAATGCTTACTAAGCTGACATGTTTCACAAGACAGAGACTTAACATGATTAAGACTAGGAACTGGACGCTGCAAAACTGATAATGAGGGATGGCCGAGACGACAGTGCCACTGGAAAGAAGACAAAGATGATTGAAGAGCCATGGGAGATGGTGCAAGATCGAAGTAATACAAGCCACCTACTTCATGTCCCATACCAATCCTCTTCTTCGTCTTGAGATCCTGAAAAAGACAACATATGGGATAAAATGTTACAGAACAGTTAAGCGATTGAGTAATTTTGCTAATGGACAACAACTTAAAAGGGAATTAAGGAACATATAACACAGAGGAAAGGGACATAGAAGGCGTAAGATGAACAGTTCCCAAACCCAAGACTTTAGTTGATGATCCATTAGCAAGAGTAACACTTTGGGAGGAAGGAACAAACTGAAATTCAGATAGGAGATGAGAACTACCAGTCATGTGATCGGATGCGCCAGAGTCAAGAATCCAGGGACTCTGACTAGAGGACAAAAGACATGTAAGGGCACTACCTGATTGAGCCAAGGACCCCATGGAAGATGAGGTGGAAGTCCGTTGTTGAGACAGAAATTGAGCATACTCATCACGGGGAATCGTGACCATAGCAGTCTCAACAGCCACATGTGGAGCAGTGGATGTGGCAGAGAGAGAAGAGTCCTCATCACTAGCAGTCACTTGATGTGCATAGGAAGAAGATAGCGGTTTCCCGTGAAGATCCCAACAGTAATTGACCGTGTGATTAGTAAGACCGCAGTGAGTGCAAATTTTTGAGTCTCTACCTTTGCCTCAACCACTGCCACGGCCGAAACGACCACCACCACCACCTCCACGAGAAGACTAAAAGCCACCCTGGTTCACAACTAAGGCAGAACGTTCACTGTTAGAAGGAACAGTGACACCACTGGAAGTACTGCCTGAAGAGCCACTAGATAAAGTGGCACGCTGGAGTCTGGATAACATATCAGGTAGAGAGGGAAGTGTAGGGCTACCCAAAATCTGTGCACGTACAGGTTCATACTCTTGTGACAATCCTATGAGAACCCGAACAACATTAAAATCTTCACGTTGCTGCTGCATGCTTTTCACATCAGAGGTGATGGGTTGATACATATTCATTTCTTCACACAGTCCCATTGCCCGTGAGAGGTATTCTTCTAAACTGTGAGTCCCTTGCTGGAGATCAAAAATTGTCTACACACCTCATAAACTCTGGTTATATTACCAGCACCAGAATATAACTGTTGGAGTTGGGTCCATATCTCCTTGGCAATGTCTAGATATAACAAGTTGGAGCCAATATGAGGTTCAATACAATTCAGCATTAAGGAGATGATCTGAGCATCCCTTTGTTCCCATGAACTAAAATTAGCATCACTGCTTTTGGGTTTATCTTGAACCAAACGATCGCCAAAGCCTTTGGCTTTCAGGAAAATGGCCACTGACTTGGCTCATAAAATGTAATTTTTTCCATTAAGCTTAACTGAAGTCATGGGAGGATTAAAGGAGTCAGG